AGTTGCAATGTGACTATCCTTAGATATAATAGAGCATTGTGAATCACCCTTAAAAAAGATTCATTGGAATTGTAAATACCTATGTATTTAACAAAAAACAAGAAAGATGTCAACTATAAGAAGATTTAGCAAAATGTTGCCTTTTAATTCTTATTTATATTTGCTAGAGATTAAAATATAGTAGAAAAAATTAAATATATATATATTTTTTAGATGGAGACTATTATTTAAAAAACAAATTAAACTTTGAGGATTATTTTTATTCTTGTCATTGTCTAGTTGATGCCTTCAAATAAGGTTTCTTATTAAATTATTCATGGAACCACAAAAAAAATTATGTGTGAGTCCTTGCAGGGTTGGATGGATTTTATTTAAATTCTAATTCTTTTCAAAAAATTAAAATTCATAATTTTTATCTTAAAAACGATTATTGACTCTTAGATCACTTTTTTATTGAATTTACACTTTAGCTAAAAAAATCTAAACATAAATCTTTTAACTTCAAAATAAATATTTTTTATTTAAAAAATCTTTAGATTTTTGAACATTTTCATGAGATATGGTCATAAGATATTACTAAAGGCTCTATTATTTCTTATATCCAAGTTTTTATATGATTTTATAAATCCTTATACAAATAATAAGTATTTTTGTAGACTAAATGTCACATTAATGTCTAAAGGCAAGTATATAAGGTTTATTTTGCTCTTCAAGAAAATTCTTAATACATTGGCCTTCAAGCTACTCTTAAAAATTTTATAAAATCTTTAAACCAACATAAAGATTGGAAATAAGAAGAAAAGACAATAAAAGCTTAAATAAAATGAAAAAAAATTGGAGATAGTATTAAAAAAACCATTTATATTGTAATTAAAAAAATATAGTCTTAAATCCATTATCACAAAATTTCAAGGTTCTCAAGATGAACTAAAAAGAGACTCTTACAATTGAAAATATTTTTATTTATTTTTTATTTTAATCTATATAAGAAACCTCAACAATGTGAAGATTTTAAGAAAGCCACCATTATAATGCTTAATAGCATTTCATGCTAGGTCACAAATAGTATAAATAAAAATTTATCTAAGCCATTCAATATGCATGAAATTAAATATGTTATTAAAGATATGGCTAAAAGAAAAGTATGTTGTTTAGATAGATTTAATATTGAATCTTTTTAGATATGTTGGCACATCATTAGTAAAGATTGTATTCCTTCAATTATCCTAGCTTTAGATACAAATTAAGTCTCATTTTGTATTTTCAAAGGACATATAGTTTTTTTCTGCAAAGGCAATGAATAAACAAAGTTGAAAAATTCAAGGCCCATAACCTTATTAATCACCTCTTACAAATCTATACTAAAATAATCTAAAGATGTGTCCAAATAAATTTCATAGAAGTTATTTACTTTCACCAAAATATTTTTTTCTCTTTGAGATTTATCTTAGAAAATATATTAGTTTTCTAAAAAACCATAAATTAAGCCAAGACCTCCAAAAAACCTCTTTTTAATTTATACATTGACTTTTCTAAAGGTTTTGATCAAGTTTCTTTAGATTTTATATTAAAGGCAATAGAATCAATTGGTTTTGATAATTCTTTTATTCACATGATTAAAATTAGTTTTTTAAGTGCAAGAATAGATTTATGTATTAATAAAAACTTTACAAAATATTTTCTATTATAAAGAGGAATGAAATAAGATACCAAATATCAAATGCCAAATGCATCTTATTTTTTCATCTTGGTTGGATTTTTTTTTAATATTTCTATTTAAAATTTTGTTCAATAATGCCATGTACAAGGCACTTCTATTTTGTAAAATCTAAATCAAAAAATTATCAACCAAAATAATGATAACTCTATAATCAAAGTCTATAAAAAAGAAGAAAATATTTTTTATTTGGTGGAAATTTTAAGCAATTCAACATGGTGTCTAATCTTGAAATAAATTAATTAAATTTTTTTTCCCATTGGCAGCTTAAAAAAAAAAAAAAAAAAAAAAAAAAAAAACTTGCATAGACTAATTAGTTTACATGGACATATACATCTAACTTCAATATTAGTAAGTTCTTTAGATTTTTCTTTGATAGTGCAGGGTGTTGATCAATTCTTCATCAATAGAATGACAAGAGAATTATACTATTAGTATTTGATTAATATCAACATAAAAGGCAGAACTATTATTCCAAATAATATTTTATTTTTATCATTGTACTACTTTCTAGCTATGTGGATTTGTTTTATAAAGGCAATTCAAAAGATTAAATTATGAAATTTATTTGGTGAAATTAAATTTTATGAAATAGTACTAATGTTTTAACTTGGTCCAAAGTGACATGAGTTATTTGTTGCAAAGCTTAAAAAGAAGGTAGCCTCAACTATTGATAGTTCTTCTATATGACCAAATAAATATTTGACAATTTCTTAAATATCAAATGATGAATGCTAAATCTAAAGCTTTTAAAAATTGAGAACCAAATTTGATTTGATCATGTGCCAAATAACCTTAAATAGATCATTTAGTCTAAAATATGGAACAATATTAGAAAATTATATTCAAATATGTATAAATTTCTTTAACTAAATCTTCCTATTCCTTTTCTTAATATATGGATTAAATTTTTATAGTTGGATTTTTATTTTTCTTTAATTAAAATTCACCTAGATTTCTATAAAAGCAAAATTCTTTATTTTATTATTTAAAAAATATATATCTACTTATTGCAAAAAAATATATATATCTATATATGACATTCTTCTATTTTTAATAGCTCTAATTGAGAATTATTTTATATTTTTTTTTGAAAATATATATATATACTGAAAAGTAATATTTTTTTAAAAAAAATCTAATGATTAAATCAAGCTATAAAAAAGAATGTCCAATTAACATCTTAATATAGTATTCTACCATATTTTTTAGAATATATTAATATAGAAGAATATATATATTTAATTCTTAAAATCAAGGTCCTTAAAAATCCTTCATTTGATAATAAGCTATGTTTATAATTTTTGAAAAAACTTTTTTTAGATTCAAAAGTTTTTACAAGATTTTATTATTATTATTATTATTATTATTATAAGAAGACTTTGTTTATGGACTATTTGAATTTAAAAAAATACGTTTGTTTTTTTAAAACAAAATACAATGTACACTCTATATTACAAGCATAGTTTGGCAGAGTTTTTTTGAATATGGACAAATTTATTAGAGTTTCTTATAAAAACATTAACTAAATACTTACAACACAAGTCATTTCTATTCAAGAAATGGAATAATTCTTGCATGGCTAAATACATACTTGGTTCTAGATGCAACAAAATAATTAAATAGAAATTTAAAATACCTTAGTCTGATGCAATTATACAAAGTTATGACAATTAGCTGGCCTTAATAGTTATTCTATGTTCTTAATACCTTTGGATATAAAAACTTTAGTAGTTAATTTTAAGTTGTATTCCATTAATGTATTAAATACATACTATTTTTGAATCAAAAGATAAAATGATTACATAAATATGGATACAAAGATGTGATATTCTTTCATATTCAATTTATATAATAATATGCTAAAATCAAACACCAACTTTGTTTTACATTTAGATATCATAGATAGTTTAAGAGCCATGGTTCACATTATAAAAATTCAAAGAAAAGTTGATTCCATCATAAAAAAATATATAATAAAAAACAAAAAATACTTATTATTGACAAAAGTAATTTTTTAATTTTAAAAATAAAATAAAATAAAAAGTCACAATAAAGATTTAATATTAAAATGATCAAAACTTTAACTAAATCAATCCATCCTATCATAACCATTATTGCATTCCATTCCTATTTCCCTCATTCTTATCCTCCATCTTTGTTCCTACTATTCCTAGTCTCAATTCTCAACTCATGTCTTCCCTTCCAATCTCCCTTCTCTTCATCATCCTCCTAGTTATAGGTTAAAAGTGTTAAAATGATCCTAACATGAAATGATGTGTTGTCATCAACAATAACAACAAGCTTTTTATTGGGATGAAACTTGAGCTCATGATAGAAATATGATATCTAAAAATAACTTCAAAGTGTGAGCTGAACTCTCACCTCCGACAAAAATAATGTTGATTCCTCATGCAGATCATTGAAAAAGTGAAGCTAGGATATGATTGGAAAATTCAAATGGCAATTATTTGTTTTAATTTTTTAATTTTTAATTTTTTGTTCTCATCAAAAGTCGGGTCTATACTAAAAGCATCTAAGGCTTATATGGTCAAGCTCTGTCAACATTTTTGAATGAAATCATAGATGGATTTTCATGTTCTATTTGAATGCTTCATCTTTAGTGGAGATGAAAAAGATTGTAGTTATTAATAATATTTGCTATTTGGACATGTTTTCCACTTGCATGTGATAGTTTTGTTGATTAGATAGCAATTTTTTTTGCGGATTTTGGTAGTAGCTTCAATGTTGAATTTATGTCAGACTTTGATTGCTTTTCTTTGACTAAGTACTCCAAATTGGGTTTAGATAGACATAAGGTCGACATCTAGATAATATTGTTGGAATTTTGAGGTTGTTTATACTTGGAGAGATCTATTTTGTTAACCTCAAGTTTAGAGAATTCTTCTAATCCATTACTAAAGGGACGACAAAAGAAAGGGGGGTTGAGATGAAAGACATGGGTTGAGAACTAGGACTGGAAACGATGGAAATGGAGATTGAAGATTTAAAAAAAAAAAAAAAAAAAAAAAAGAAAAAAAGAAGGAGAAATAGAGATAAGGTGCAATAATGGTTAAGATAGGATAGATCAATTTAGTAAAAGTTTGATTCATATATATATATATATATATATATATATATTTTGAATTGGTTAAATCCATTGATTTTGCCAACACCAAGTATATTTTTGGCAGCCAATGGAAAAAAAAACACAATATACCTTGACATCCAATCAATGTTCTTTACTGTAATTAAAAAAAAAACAAAACAAAACAAAACAAAATGGCGCCGCATTAGCTAAGTGCAAATCAAGATTATTTGCACTGCTATCGTTGCTATCACCATCTCAGTACAACCTATTTCAACTTATCCCATCTCAATTTTTCCCATCCTAGCTTGGCTTATTTCACCCTATCCTTACTTGTTCCATTTTAGTCCAATCCATCTCATCCCATCTCTACCCATCCCAATCTGACATGTCTAATCCTTTGATCCTAGTAACTGGATAGCTTAGGAATAACTAAGTTAAACTTGTAACTTAGTTTTACCACCCTACTACTCCAACCAATGGTATTTTTTGGTGCTCCAACCAAATGTAGGCTTGTCAATTTTTTATAAAATTCTATGTTCTAAAATTGTATAAATATTTCTTCAAAAGAAATAATGTAGAATACACATTGTTAAGATTTTCTCAAAATTTATCTTATTCATCAATGTTTACATTGTTTTTAATGCATTACACACGTTTACTATAAAATACTGTCACGTTGAGACAGAGCAACATCTCAACCCCTAACAATTCAATCAAAACGGGAAATCCGACAGCAAAATTTCGAGAACCGCATTTGATAACATTTTATAATAATCAACGGGGGTTTGGCTCCGCGCGTTCACACAGGTGAAATGAAAGGATAACAAGTGTGAACAAATGCATTGTCTGCACAGTTAGCGAGAACGAACGAGTGGATGAATGTGGAAGTGGATGAAGTCGTAAATGAAGAAGTCGGGGATGAAGCTTCATTCCCAAGGCGGGGGCGCTGCTGCCGCTGGCTAATGAGGCAGCCCGGCCTGGGTCATCAAGGAGAGAAAAGTTTGGAGCTCGTGGGGAGAGGCGGCGCGCTTGTGTGCAGCTTCCTTCATCGCATGAGCGTTGGATTGTAACGCGCGGCCTTCGTCTTGCTTCATGACGCGCCTCACGACTCTCTCCACTTCGTCTCTCGTCACCAGCCCATCGCTGCCCTTCCGGAACTCTGCCGCCACCTTGGCCACGTCCACCAGGTACCTGCATCAACATCACCCCCGCAACGAGATGAGCGAGAGAGCTTTGTTTTACGAATCTAGGATGTTTGAGTGTTACGAAACCCATGGGGTGGATCCGATTGTGCAGGACTCAGACCTGCTGTTCAGATACTGCTCGAAACGTTGCGGCCAGGCCAGGATCGGCAGCCCGGCAGCCATCCCTTCTAGTGTCGATGTCCAGCCAGTGTGCGACAGAAACGCGCCTGTGGATGGGTGTCTGAGTATGCTTGGCTGCGGGACCCATGTGCTCACTACCATGCCCCTGTCCTTGACGCGGTTCTCAAATCCTGTTAGCCCACAGTGATCGCCCAATCCCACGTTGTGTCCCATTTCAAGTTAGTGTCGATTGTGATTGTTTGATAGCGGGCATCGTCGCTGGAGAACCAGCTTAAGTATGCTCTTACTGCCCATGAGTCCCTGTCGGTAACTTCGAAGGGCATTCTGACTCAGTTGGATGTTCCTACGTTGGAAGGTCGCTACCTATTAAGCAACCGCTCTTAAAAATCCACTCAAGATTGATTTTATCACAAACAGACGAACTGACCTTGGGGAAGAATTTTGTCTAGATTTTCGGCCAACGGATTGAGTCTGTTTGGGCCCCCCACCCACAGGAATGGTTGCTCACTGGCCTCTAACCCCAAGGCGAGTTCCTCTGCCTGCTCCCGGCTAAGCGTCCCACCAGTACCGAACGCAATGTAAATCACGGAACTTGGTGGTTGCTTGCTCAAGAATTGTATGGTGGGTTCCTCTGAAATCTCATCCCAGTCGCGCTGGATCAAATCAGCTGATGGGTGCAAGGGGCCTACTGGTATCACTTTGGGCATCTGTCAGAAATATTCATGAGGTTTTCAATTGTCGAGGTGTCGAGGAGAGCAAAAAATGAACGCAATGCTAATATGACAGTGCATGATCACTAACCAGGACAAAGATAAACGCAGCAGCAGAATGTGGACATTATCAAAGGTATTCCAGGGCTTCATATTTGTTCACTGAGGGTCACTGGCGTGAAGGTCGTCAAGGGCGGCCAAAACTCCCTCTTCAAGCTCCCAGAACGTGTGTTGACTAGAACTATTGGTGCCTCGATTGCTCTCCTCGACATCCGAAGAAAAAATTCGTAGCTGAAATCGATTATGTTCAAGAATTCAGGGTGTAGATCTGATGGCAGTTCTGAAGGGTGCAATGGCACCTCCATTCCTGGAATTTTTACAAGCTCATTTCGGCTTTTTTCAGTAAACGGCAACCGCCCCTCTGCTAGTAGCGTCGGAACCTAAAACTCAAACCAAACATCAAAAGCACACCTGTAACCATCCAATTCGACAAGTTGCACCCCTCTCGCTGCCAAATTAGCTCATAGAAAGGAAATTTACATAAACAACCCTGACTTAGATGACATCACAACATGACGAAGTAGGTGGGACGCATCGCAAAGAAGCTGCTTTGCTAAGAGTAACTAAAAAGAAGTTTTTACAGGTGTCATTCGAAGGGCGTACATGAAGCATGACTGACAAGTCAAGTGTTGATTGTATGTGCAGAATGTGACGGGGAATGTTGAATTTTGCAGCCAAAATTTGTGTCCATCCAACAAGCATGTCGGACAAGATACAGCAGGGGGGAGAAGTACTCGACATCAAGCGGGACATTGCACCAGTAAACGCGTCAACAAGCTTCAGTTCGGAGGATTCCTTCACCGACTCCGGAAAGGTACCAGGCGTGCCGTCGTATATCCCATCATCCACTCCCACCATCTGTATATCCATTTCCTGGATGGCTTTCCTATGTTGTTTGTACATAATCGATGTCTGGAACATCGACTCGAACTTCTCATAAACAAGCATCGTCACCTTCACACCAAACGATGCTAGTTTCGTCGCAAGATACATGAACGGAATCGCATGGCCAGTGGCACCCGGCACCACCAGCACAACATGGACGACGCCCATCTTGCTGGACCTCACCCTCACCAGCTTCCTCAACAAAAACCACTATGTACTTCAACTACTCTGCCGCATCAACAACAATCTAACCCTCTTTACATGTACAACCATGTGCACATTTGTACAAATATTCTCATCCTCCTGGACAAAAAGAAAGCACTCTGCCGAATGCGACAGGGTCACGTAGGTTTCAGAATTCCCGCTTTGCTGCAATCAAATTCTGGCCTTTCGATGCTTACTAGTTACTGTTTCCATGGCATTATCATAACCATTTCCAGCCAAGCTAGCTTGTAACGTGGCAGCACACCGTGGTCAATATGACGCAAGATTGGAAACCCAATTGTCAACACGAGTATGGTGGAATCTTTTTTTTTGGTTTTTTTACTCTGTTTTTTAATACCTTAACTGACATACACTCCACGAACCGAGAGACACTGGCAAGTTGCATGTAATAATACAAAACCTACGGTTTAGGTTGATTTCTCTGTGCCGTAGTCCAGGAGCGGAATCAGCAGGATTACCTGTGTCTTGAACAAGCACCTGATTTTGTAGCTTTGGGTTCTGTTCCTTCAGTGCCCACCACTAGCATGTTGTAGCTCCCAATTTATGAGGCCACTATTATAACAAAATAATGTAGAACTTAAATAAGAATAAGAATTGTACTAATTATGATAATAATGACAATGTTAAAGGAAATATACACTGAATATTCAAAGTGGCAGATGAATGAAAAGCTTTAAGGGGAATTGGTTTCAAATTAGGCCCACGGGTTTGGTTTTCCTACACATGCTATAAATATTACAATCCTTCATAGTTTGATTTGAGGCCATAAGTTTGTTACAGCCCTGCATTGAGTGATTGAAGGCCGTATAATTTGTTACTGCCCTGCAGTGAATGATCGAAGGGTGTGTATTTGTACTGAGCACTGCAAAAGCTCGGTGTAACATTATTTTCTTCATAGAATTATAAAATTTTGTAAATAAATGCTTTCAATGTTGAAATAAAAAAATAAAAAAAATAAAATTTAGGTTTGTTTGATGCAAAATAATATTAATGTAAAACTACAAATATGCTTAATTATGTTCAATTTATTCCTAAATAGTATTTATCTTGTAATGTATAGATGTTTCATTGCTTGGACATAACAAACTTGTTGTTGCATTATGATTTCAATGTACTTGTTTTTTAAACTTTTTGTATTAAAATTTTAAAAAAATATAGAGAATATTCTCAAATTATCAAATTGTAGTTTTTTGATACATGTAATACTTTTTTTGTAAATGAAATCTTAAATCAGCTAATAATTTATGATTTTCAAATATTAGCATAAAAGTTATGTTCTTTATATAATATTTTCCAACTACATAAAAATTTATATTTTTTTGATGAAAAAAATAAACAAACAAACATACAAACAAACAAATACATAGTTTATGTTATTGCACTTTTTAAGAATTTTGTAATAATCAACATTGTTCAATTTACGTGAAGTTGTATTTCTAATAGAGAACCACTATGTAAACACCTCCCTTTTGTGCCATGCACCTCTGCATACACATCTACCTTTTCTGTCATGCACACCTTGCAAAAAGCAACTAGTTTTGATTTCATATGAGATATTTTAAACTTCATATTTGATAATGATGAATAATGAAAATGATAAAACATAATATTTCATATTTTTACTTTTTAAAATATTAAATCAATAATTATTTGAAATGACAAAAGAATTAAAAAAAAATTGTAATATGAAGCAATAGAATACAAAAGGATGAGTATATATAATTGAACAAATTGTGGTAATAGAATAATAAAATTTTAAAAAATCATAATTTAAAATTAAAATTAGTTATTACTTGCAAGGGTGTGTATGGAAGGGTGCATGGCTCAAGGGGCATCCATCTAGTTAAAAGGGGATTGTCTACCTAACAATATTGATTGTCATCAATATACAAAATAACTTTAAAAATTATTGCAATAATAGCATTGTACTAATAATATTTATTATTATATTTTAGAGTTAAAGTTTGACAATTAACTTGTAGAGTTTGTATAAAAATATCAATGCTGCCACTTCTCTTAGTTTACATTAATATATATATATATATATATATATATATTAAAATTAAACACAAATAATTTGAGATGATTTCTACTCTTAATTTTTTAAGCATTTTTTTTTTTTTTTCTTTTTGTATTTAGTTTCAAAAGATTAAAAAAGAAGGCATTTACATCCATGTTTTCTGAATTTTCTAATTGCAAAAAATTCTCAATCAATAGATTTAATGCGTATTTCTAGTAATTATAACCCGTAGGTAAGGAATAAGCTAAATTTACATTATATTCTTTAATTTTAAGCAATAAAGAAATAACTTGCTTTCCCAAAAAGTCATCCATTCAACAAACTTCAAGGACAAAAAACAATAATTTAGCCTACCAGAAAATTTAAATGCGGTACATCAACAAGTCTATATGTAAATTAGTTATACAATTACAGAAAAAACAATAATTTCCTTTTTCTGTTTTTGTTTGAATTTCGTTTTCAGAAGGAAAAAAAAACACTTTTCCTCGATGCCATAATAAAAGTAATGTCACCCATGATGCGAAAGGATAGGTTCAGCATAAACAATGAAGTCTTGTCATTGCAACAAAACTGTCAGTAGATCTGCATGTCCAAATCAATCTGGTTCTGACACCTTGGATATCAATAATTTATCAAATGGCATCTTCATAGTTCTGAAGCCTTCTTTTTATTTACTTGTTTATTTATTTTGTTTTGATTTGTTTTGTTTCAGTATTTTCACAATCCTTATTTTCAAAAATTCAGGTGCATTCGGGTTCATTTATTAGTACAAGAACGTAAAATCACTCACATTTACAATAAAGTTTAACTAAGGTTTTTAATATGAACATGAGGAAGGCATGGGATGAATAAAATAAGAGGGTCACAACATCTAGAAGCCTACTTTAAACACTCCAAAAAGAGAAGCGAAAAGTATGAGAGGAAATAGGTGGCCCTATTCCCATAAGGGGAACCAAGGCTTCCAAAAAGTTTTACATGAGAATACACGGTAATAGGGGCAAAAGAATAGGAAGAAACTGCGGCTCGCGGCGGCATATGGCGGCACCCAGCGGTACCCAGCAGCATGGTGGGGTGGGACCATCGGCATTCTTCCAAGCGCCAGACTCTCACTGCAATGCCGCTGAGGAAATCACCGTCGGCGCAAGGGAAGTTTCTGAATCCAGCTTTTAGTAGGCAGCGGCAGAACACAAGCCAAGTAATCCCGCAAATCCGTTTCTGGACAAGGAACTTTGAATCTGGAGTGGCTTCAGTGCATGGAAAAATATTTATGTACATGCATGTGTGTGTGTGAGTGTGTTTTCAAAAGGATTGCACTGTCGATAACTGCAACTCCGATCGACTCAGTCCATGTCAAAAAATCATTCCAAGTTCTCATGATTTCCGAAACTTTTTAGGAAACCTCGGTTGCCGTGGGTAGTATTCTACTGGTTTCTGTTTCACCTCGCAATTTGCACCATCTGCGTTGCTGGCACTTGTCATGTGAGGATTGACATTGCGTTTGTATGTGATTTATGTTATTCGTGTTCCTGTAGTTATAAACAGTTTACACGAGCACATTCCGGCCGTTTTGATCTCAAGCTTCTCGTGCAAATGCAACTGTAGTGTGCAAATAGTTACTCCGGTGCGTGGCTGAAGTCATGGACACATCTGCTGGATTCCGCTGTTTATAACTGTCGGTAGAGTTATTGTTGGTAGTCGCATCGTGAATTACGCCGTAGTGACTATTTTCAATGGCTGAAGTTGTTGTGGTGGTTGTATTCTGAGACACTAAGCAAAATACAGTTTTGGGAGATGAAGTGCCACAAAAAAATACTTATATATATATATATATATATATATGTTTTGAGTTCTCAACATGCCTCAGAAATGGCCACCCTAACTTGTTATTGCATTGTGTGAAAACTTAATGGTGGCACAACATTATTGAGAATTGTTTGTTGGCTAGTTATGGTAGATAAATCCACATTAAAGAATTTTCTTGAATTTGATTAAGAAATATGTTTTCGTCCTTTGAATACATTATGCTTTCTGCCTAGAGAACACATTCTTAATTTGGTTTATTCATTTCAATTGATAACATTTAATTCTTTAATTTTTTTGAGATTTTAAAATTATATATATATGTATATATATTTATATATATATGCATACACACATACAAGTATTTAAAACATGTGGAGTAGAAAACATCTTTATGTAAAACATAATAAAAGTTTTTAAAACATGTTGAGTAGAAAACATCTTTATGTAAAACATAATAATTTTTTTTGAAAAATACATTGATCTATATATGTCCTTTGCTTCACTAGAAGATATTTCAAACTTCTGTAAGAAAGTGTTTAGTTCTAAAACAATATAAAAGTATCTCAAATCTTGGAAACTAGTTATATTATTTTTCTATTTTAAGTTATTTTAAAAATAAATTTATAAATATTAATAAATAATTATTAAAATTTTACATAATAAAATAAAATAAAATATTAAATAATAAACAAATTTTTATCACATAATGTGAATTTAATATGTGTTAAATTGAAATAATGATTTTATTTAAGATTAATTTTTAAAAAACTTAAAAATAATAAAAAATATAATGATAGCTTTTATTGAATAAAATATTATAGAAATATATTTGAAGTAAAACTAAATTTTATTAAATTATTCATTATTCGTTTTAATTTTAACATTAAAACTTTTGATTACTTATGTCAATATTTTCTACTTAACATTACATTTTTATAATAAAGTGATTTATTTTTATGCATGTAAATATTCTTTATGATTTAATATACAAATTTAGAATATAAACCTTCATATTTAGTTTTAAAATAATTTAAAATCATTTATTATAATATTTTTTCAAAAATTAAACAAAATTATAAAAAAACTTCTATTTAAAAAAACACATATAAAAAAATAAATTTATTTTAAAGTATATCAAAAATTATAAGTATACTTTTTTATTAAAATGTCTTAAAAAATACATAAAA